CGCTGCATCATGTGTTCTCACCTTGAATATAATAATACTGTTCTGACGCTCGTCGGAAAATGGCGGTTGAACAGAGAACCAAAAATTTTGTTTGAAGTTAGGCAAAACATCCGAAGAAGCGTACGAAGTGATGAAAAGTGCGTACGATAGTGATTGTTTGCGTCTCTCGAACATTTTTCGACCGTATGCTCTATTTCGTGACGGCAGGGAGGACATTGAAGACTCTCCACGTGCATCAAAGCCGAGAAAGTGTAGCACTGAAGAAAATGTGAAACAAGTGACCGAAATCCTTTTATCAGAGAGATGTGTTTCTGCAAGACTCATCGAGGAGCTTTTGCGAATACCAAAATGTACTGTGCATCAGCCTATGCGCGGTTTGTACCGCACGCGCTGTCAGGAGATGAAAAACATGCCAGAGTGGAACACTGCGAAGACATGTTACGGTCTGCCCAAAGTGATACAAAATTTACAAAATCGATTGTTACTGGTGACGAGACATGGTGTTTTCAATTTGAGCTTCTTACAAAGCGGCAGAGTGCAGCGTGGCTGAGCCCAAAGAAGCCGAAACCAAAGAAAGTGTGCATGCAAAAGAGTCCAGTAAAGACGCTGCTAACCTTTTTTTTTTTTTCGATTTCAAAGGAATCATTCACAATGAATTTCTGCCAGAAGGTCAAACAGTGAATTTTGATTATTATCTCGGAGTCCTCAATCGTTTGTGAGCGAGAATTCTTCGAATTCGACCTGAATATCGAGAGCAAGGTTCCTGGTCGCTCCTCCACGTCAGTGCCCCACCCCACAAATCGAAGATCGTGCGCATTCTTTTGGCCAGAAAAGGGGTCACAGTCCTTGATCATCCTCCGTATTCGCCAGATTTGATTCCAGCGGATTTCTGGTTGTTCCCAAAAGTTAGGTTGGCGATGAAAGGAGACCGTTACGACACCGTCCAGGAAATTCAAAGGGAATGTACCGCGGTTTTAAATGCGCTTCCACAAAAGGAGTACAGTGACTGTTTTCGAAAACTTTTCAATCGATCCCAGCTACGTATTGATTCAGAATGAGACTGTTTTGAATAAAAAGAGTGAAATTTTGAAAATAATCCACGTCTTGTATTTTTAATGAACACAGTCCTAAGTGAACCTGGACACACTGTGTATATCGCGTCCTCCCTATTCTGTCTTATATTCTCAAAACAAAAACCGAATTCTTCGTCTCACTCTCATCTCTCTCCTGTCACATTCCCCGTCTCGCTCATTCTCCTTGATCTGATCGCCCCAATAATTTTGTTGAGCACTTCAGATACTAAAATTCGTTACACAACTTTTACTGCGGCATCCTTGTATTTTAATGAGCCAGGATATCTCGGTCGGTATAGCGATGAGTTACGGACTGGACGGCCGTGGTTCGATTCTCGGCAGAGGAAATTGATTTTTATCTACTTCACAGCGTCCAGACCGAATCAGCGGTCCACCCAGCTTTCTACACAGTGGGTAACAGGTGATGTTTTCCAGGGGTAATACTGCAGGGCGTGAATCTGACGAATCACCTCCATCTAAATTCGAGGTCAAGAATGGTGGAGCTATATCTCCACTCGATCATACGTCTTTATGGCGTGGTGTTTAATTATTGATCACGGTGGCCGCGCGGTCTAAGGCATGGACTGTCTTCGCTCGCTCGAAAGCTGTGATTGTGGGTTCGAATCCCACTCACGGCATGGATGTCAGTGTGTGCCTTTATTCTGTGTTTGTGTTGTCCTGTGTGTAGGTAGCGGCCTTATGACGTCTTGATCCCCCGTCCAAGGAGTCCTACCATCTGTGTAAAAAAGATTACGAAACTGAAGAAAATACCAAGTCCTAACAAAGGATTATAGAGCCATTGATGAATGAATGAATGAATGAATAAATTAATGAATTAATTAAGCGCAGGAACAGGTTCACTTTTTTTTCTCTTTGGCACTACAGCCCCAGTGGGCCTCAGCCTACCTCCATGAACTTCTCCGTTCACTTCGGTTTTTCTAGATCTTACACATTCGGTAGGACTCCTTGGGCGGGTGATCAGCTCGTCACAAGGACTCTACCTGTACACAAACACAGAAAAACCACACACACAAAATAGCATCCATGCCCTGAGTGGGATTCGAACCCACGATCCAGGTTTCCGAGCGAGCGAAGACAGTACATACCTTAGACCGCTCGGCTAGGGTTCACCTTTACCTCCTAGTATTTTAGAATGGACGTTTGTAAATAAATGTTATAAAATGAGTGATACATGCATTTCTCCGACAAAACGAAGTGCTCCGAGGAAAATGTATAAATATAAGCACTTGAGAACCTCTGTATGGAGGACAGTTTTGATGGGCTTTGTACGTCAGTGTGTTACATGGGACAGTTTATGTCGCGATTAGGCGACGAAACGGGATTCGACGGTTAACTTGATCTAGCATGAAAATCAAAGTACCTGACTGTGGCCAATCTGATCCTGGTAATTTGATGGACCGTGACTCTCAGCCCCGTAGCTTAATGGCCCGTTGGAAAATTGCAGCCCGAGTTTCCCTTTTACCTTTCATCCGCTATATGTTGCTCGCTCCGTCAATAATGGCCTGAGGTTTGCTCATGCATCCGCCAATAACGGAACAATTCATCATGTGGTGTGCCGGCGACGGGCGAGAATTCAGCGTTAATATGCCATAACTAGGTAACCGACTAATTGACTATTCACATCCCTAACTAACCAACTAGCGCTAAAGCAGTAGAACCCGAACTTTCGGCACAACTAACACCAAAACCTGCCTTGGAAAACGTTTCTGAAACAATGCCCCGTAACTCTCCATCCTCAAAACCTATCTCCTTAAGATATATTTTAATGTAAACTTTTCGCCTCCCATTTGGTCTGTCAAGCTGAGTTTCCAAAGGTTTTCCCCAGCGAACATTCCGAATGAACTCCATATATTGCCCATTCCAACCACGCACTATGTTCATCATAGCAATCTCGGTATCTTTGTTTTCAGAACACTGGGTGCACATGAAAAAAAATGATTAAGTTCCTATTTATGTAATATTTTGAACTGTTCACGTCAACGGTTCTGTGCCCGAATATTGCTCGAAGCTTATTCACATACTTGCAACACATGTCAAAGTATTTTACACTTGTGTAAAAATTTAAGCTTGTTTCATAAATTGGTCTCCAGCCAAAAGAACGATAACGGACTTCGCGAAAATAATAAGAAACTCTTCTAAATTCGTTTTTTTTGGGGGGGGGGATTTTCTGATAAGCCTAATTGATGTTTGTTAGTGTGATTCGACAAGGGCACGCGGTAGCGTAGTTGGTTGAGGCACTATGCTACAAGCCGGAAGGTCGCGGGTTCAGGCTACGATGAAGTGGATTTTTCAAATTACCTAATCCCTCTAGCCACACTGTGGCTCTAGGGTTGACTCAGCCTCTAACAGAAATTAGTACCAGGAATCTTCCTCGGGTAAAGGGCCGACGGCGCACAAGGCTGATACACTTACCACCATCTGTGAGCCGATTATCTAGCAAATGTGGGAGCCTCGTCGTCTCACTACCCTATAGGCCTTCACGGCCTGTTACAGGGATAGCTTTACTTTATTTAGTGTGTTTCAGCATCCTCCGTCGCTATCATTGGTGAATATAAACTGAATTTATGCTGTAAGATTTGAGGTTCTCACGGCGGTGATTATGTAGAATGCTGTCTTCTGGGATGTGGCGCCTTGTAGATATTTTTGTTAACCGACGTTTCGGAAGAACGTATCGCCTCCATCTTCAGGGTATAAGAAATCCGCGAGGGATGAACCAGCGTGAGCAGGTGCCTGTAGACTGAATTTATGTTGCTACCGACTGAGTTTTTCATAACTTGTACTCTTCTCCAAGTATAATTAGAATGATCAAGTCAAGGAGGATGAGGTGGGCAGGGCATGTAGCAAGAATGGGTTAGACGAGGAATGCTTATAGAATATTGGTGGGAAAGCCAGAAGGAAAGAGACCACTAGGAAGACCAAGGCGTAGGTGGGTGGACATTATTAAAATGTATCTTAGAGGGATAGGATGAGATGGTTGGGATTGGATTGATCTGCCTCAGGATAGGGACTAGTGGGGGGTTCTTGTGAACACGATATTGAACCTCCGGGTTCCAAAAAATGCTGGAGGAACTGACTGAGCTTAGAAATAAAGGGTTTATCTGTAATCCATCCCTAGACTCTCATGTGTTTTCCTTTCCACAGAATTCATGATATTATTCCGCTGACCACGTTGACAAGCATCGAGGTCCAGATGCATTATGCGAGAAACGGACTTCCCATCAATAAAACACATTCTTTCATATACCCTAATGTTCCTAGTACTTATCGAGCAAGCTAATGAAATTTCTGCAGGAACTGAGGCTCTCAGAGAGGACGTTGCGAAGACGTATCTTTTGGGATATAACGTCATATAGTCCCTTCAAGGTCAACAGATGTTTCAGAGGAATATGTCAGCTCTGCCTGGTAACAGTTTCATGCTGGATTCTTGCTTGGTTTTCTTTTTCGTCTCTGAAGATGGAGGCGACGTCCCTCCGAAATGTCTCTTGAATTTTAACGGAATACATGGCGTAAAAATCTTAAAATCTGCAAATTAATGCACGTTACTCTGAGCTGGCATCGCTCATTCAGTATAGTGGCGAACTACGGGCTGAACGGGCAGGTTTCGAGTCTCGAAAGAGGCAAAAGTTTTCTGTCTAATCCACAGCGCCCAGACCGGCTCTGAAGCCTAACCAGCCTCCTATCCAATGGCTACCGGGGGCCCTTTTCCAAGGAACAAAGCCTCCATATAGTGCCTAAGTCAAGAATGACGACGCTATACCTCCGCGCCCCCGTACGTCTTCTTGGCGTGATGTTTAATTAATTATGCACGAGGGCATATTTACATTTTTTACTCTATGTCATAATTTTCTGCCTTGCAGTGGGCCAGCCATAGTCAACGGTTCCTAACGAAAGCGTTCAATGTTTCAGAATTGGACCTGAGACTGAATCGGAAGAGGTCAGAGGCTCCAGTCTGTAACGGCTGCTGAAGAAGTCATCCGTGTAAACGGTCAGTTGATTTTCGTTAGTATCAGTATTCGATTCGCCGTGTTTGGGCAGCAACTTCTCCGACTTTACTGTGAGGCAGATTGCCTAAACGGATTCTCTTAGGCGCGTAACTTGGCTGCAAGTTTGTGCATTACGAAATGGCTGTTATTGGCACTTTACGGGTATATTCAGGGACTAAGATTATGTGGTACTGGTTGTACATGCATGTACCGCGCTGTAGCACTTTATGGCCAGAACATAACTCTCTCATAGAATAAGTTCTGCAAATTAATACAGTGTTGTTACATAGCGTCACTTCATCTCCCAAATCATGAAGAGTTCATGCCTTGTCCACTGCGTATGGATGAGTCACACTAGCGTTAAGGAGCTACCAGTTTATAACACGTTTCCCGGAGTAATAGTTTCATGGGAGTAGGTTTAACCTTCTCTCTTCAAGTGGAATCACACAGCATGGTATTCATCCCACTGATATCAAGCCATACGCTGTCACGGATCATTACGTTATAAACAGTGGAAATACTGACACAGCTACTTTGCTCTGTTGCTTATATCCACATTGGGAGAATTTTCGTGGACGGAAGAGAGAATGAAAAACAGAAAGGGAAGTTCGCACTACTCATCTAGTCTGTCCCAACGCTTATCCGTCTTTCAAATGGTCCCTTTGTACACCTAGGTTACAACCATGTGATTTGAAATATGTGAAAATTTTTGGACTCTGCTGTTTCCCATTCTCTTCAAGTGTATTTATATAGGCTTTTATTTGCTATATATATATATATTGATATTCGGTTTTAAATATAAAAATGGGACATTCCACACGACAAATTATTGAAAACGAAACAAACTAGATATTACAGTATCAACATTCGTTTATTTGCTCAGATATCAGACCTACATGTTTCGAATTTTATTAGGTTATCTTCAGGTATACATGAAACGACAGTGGTAAGTTTTCGAGTATGCTAACGCATTAATATGGATCCATATTTTACATTAATAAGTTTTAAACTACCACAATTTTTAATTCAAATTTTAATCGAATAAACATATATGCGTTTTTTAAATGTGGGTCACTTGATACCTTAAAAAGAAGGCTCTATTTCGACTATTTGAATTTTCATATAATTCTTGTTCTTCGAGAAACAAATTTAATTACCGCTTAAAAGTGTAGAAATTGCATTTCTTGTAGAAAATTTCTAGTCCTCGTCTTCCGTTACTTGTCGGTTTAATATTTTGCTCAACTCTCTTCGTCTTAGTATTTACAGACATTTTATTTTCTGTCATACCTAAATATAGATATTAAGTTAAAGGTAATAAAAAAATATATTTGCTTTGTTTCTTTCAACTTTGAATTCTTTTATCTTCATGAAACCATGGAACTTATTTTCCGCTTCTCTTTAATTTAATTTAATTTAATGTAGCTGAGAAGCAAGAAGCGGATATAGAGGTAACAGCATGTAGCTTTGACACAGTTGAATGTGTCAGTGAGTGTATCAACAAATGAGCATCAAGTCGCGTGCCTGCGTCTACACGCTCCATTTGTTCTCGGCAAGCGGTCGGTTACCACGGCAACACGAGAGAAAGAAAGAGATAGCACGTTTCAGTTAGAGAGCGCAAAAGAGAAGAGTTGAGTTCACTAACGATGTTTCCCCGTAACAACATTGCATGACCCTCCTGCCATTACGCTACTGCTGTGCATTGAGATGTGAGAGCGACAGGAGACGCGAAACGTGTAGAGTGTGAACTGCAAGTAACAGGCCTATCAACTTAACCTGAAACCCACTTAATAAGCTTACAAACGACAATCCGCAATAATTTTAAAACATAAAGAGTGGTTTGTATAGCCGTCTGCCTCCACCAACCACTAACGTGTATGAAATGACTCGTGTTACTTTATTACTTTACAAACGTAGGATTATTCCATGCTGTTTATTAACTTCCGGCCAGACCAAATACTAACATGCCATAAATTATACTCTCTGACCTATTCTGTTAAAGAATTAATAGCCTAATTTTCTTTGATACGAGGCACACCACATAGAAAACGATGTTTCCAACAGTTCTTCGTTGCTGAGGGAATGTTGTGCTTTCCGAGCCGTTGCCTAGTAACGATAGCTGGGATACATATACAGATACACAGGAATTTATGAAGTAGGCCGTCGAGATTGGCTCAGGTGTCATGATATTGACACGATTTATGGGCATGACTGATAAGTTGGATTGGTAATTGGATTTATTGATCACTCCTTGTATAATCACTCGTAAACACAATAAAAACCGAAGTGAACGGAGTTCATGGAGGTAGGCCTAGGCCCACTGGGGCTGTAGTGCCAAGAAAAAAAAACAGAATAAATCTTCAGCCGAACAATTCTTCCTAGACTCTCTAGGACTCACTCAATTCTGACTCAAAGTCAAAGTCACATTGCGACTGACGGCCAGTCAGTGAGTCCTGGTGTCGAGCCCGATCTGGGATTCATGACCAGATATTGATTATTACCGTTTGACAGTTACGGTCTTGCTTCTGTGGGACGCCCTCTCTGACGAGAGGACGGCTCTGTCTTTTGAATATACTGCTGGCCCTTGCCAGTGCAGTCTTTCTTAGGTCCGAGTCCCTTGGGATTCGCGACCATATTTTACTGTCTTAGATTTGAGACTTCCCTTTTCGTCGCCTCCTATGACTCCCAGGGTCACGGATCACTGGTCACTGGTCGGACCTCACGGACATCACGTCCATTGCTTACTGATATCGCGTATTGTTGTAGGCCTTACCTAGCAACGGGCTGTGTACCCGGAATCTGTCTCCGCGGAAGGTGTATTCAGACTTGATAAGGGGGACACACAAACAGACACACAGCAAGGTGATGTCATAAGCCTGCTCTTATTTTTTTTTTCAAAATAAGGAAAGTAGGCTAAATTTCCTTTATATCATTTGGAAGGATACCTTGGACGGGGATCGACCCCTCCTTTGTCCTCTGCCTAATCAGGATAACGCAGAACAGCGTGCGCATAAGACTAGACTCCTAGCTGTGTTCCTACGAGCTTTCCCAATTTTCGAGCTCTTCAAGAACTTAAACAGCGCGGCCTATGTGAGTGGCTGCATTAAGTGTACAGAACTACGTGCATTACTTAATGTTGTATGAAAATTCGTCTTCCTTTATGTAGAAATCAGAAAAAAAAAAGAATGGTGCAAGAGATGAGAAGTAAATGATAAATGCATAATATTCCATGGTGAGTAGCCTGGTCCATAATTTCATCTCTTCGCCTATTCTCATAAAATTAAATCAAGAATGACTATACGTCGTATGGCGGAGCGTCCAGAACTCCTACGAGAAACAAAAAACAAATAAACTCTCATCTTAGGTCTAATATCTCATTAAGCAATGCCACTTGACAGACCTAAGACGAGATATGAGAAATTCATTTAAATGAAGAAAAGACAGTGGTAAATTTCGGGTTTCATGCCGACAGATTTCTTATAATATAAATTCCACCGTCAGTACTACTATAATTTATTAACTTATGTTCCACTACATGTTTCGACCCTTATAGGGTCATCCTCAGGAGTTGTGATTTACACATTTTCACTATTGAATTGTAAAGCATGTATTCATATTTACAGACATCAGCTTAAAATTAATACTTTCTGTGTATATTATATTCTAACTTATAGATATTGATTTAAATAGGAAATATGTATGAAATAAGTTAAAAATTAAAAATTAATTTAGAAGTGTCGTGTGCTGTATTCATTCTAGTGTCTGTTGCTATAGCAGACCACGCATATTTTCGTCTGATTCTTCTATTATTGGTTAGATTCGTTTGTGTTAACTGTTTGTTGAGCACGAATTTATCTTCTTTCTTATTGCCAGGATGTCGATTGTTAGTTTTGTTGTGTCGAAACATGTCGTGGAACATAAGTTAATAAATTATATTTGCATTGACAGTGGAATTTCTAAAAACAGCAGATTTCTTGATCACAGGCAAAAGAGTCCGCCGTTTACGAAAAACTCAACCAGGAAGAATTTAATTAGTGGATTAATTACGTTGATAGGTTATATGAGCATGGATGTAGTCTGCAAGTTAACAAAGGGCACTGACGTTGCTGCCATCATGTTATGGCTTTCATTTGTCGGACATACTGTACTAAATCGAAAGAGATGCTCTACAGTAAAATGAACCCTGCAACTTGCATTAGGTTCGCTTCCAACCCCCCCTCACAAGAAGCAATGTCTAATTAGAGCCTCAGAGATCCTACTTGTTGAGGTTATACCGCTTCTTTCCTTATCTCCTATTGTCTTCGTTTTCTTTTTTTCATTCATTCTCTATCATGCTTCTAATTGAGCTGTCTTCTCAAACGCCGTGCCTTATTCTTGCCTTATAAGGAGTTTATGTTCATATATATTTCACAACTCTTCTCACACATACACTGTGTCTCGTTTAGATCCCCTGGCGTTTATACGGCGTTCGATAAGGTCCTTAATGACTATCCTTCTCTCTCAGCTCCTCTCAGACAAGTGTAACCTTTTCCACTTCTCTTGTTTTAATGTTTATTCTCCTTTCAATAGTAGCAACTCTTCATTGCATGTTCCAGAACGCACCAGCTCCCTGCTGAGGGTGGTGTGAGCCGTGGCAATGCGTCTCCATCGGATCACGCTGCCGGACACTTCTACCGACTTGCCTCGCGCAGTTTTAGCCCCAGAACTTTAGAATCTAAATCAGGGGGCGCAAATTGTAGCGAATTTAAATTTGAAAATGTGGTAAACTTTATTTCGGTCTGTAAGCATGACGCAGGTATTTATACGGATCATTATTATTACAGCCCTACTACTGTTATTGAGAAATTGTAGTCTATTTTTCTTATTTTCAAGAATAAAATGAAAGTTACGAAATCATCTTGCAGTCTGCTTGCCCCCCCCAAAAAATTTTGCTAGGTAACGGCTCAGACGCAGTGTTCTCTATGCGGTCTGCGTCTATAAAACACTCACTCTGAAGCACAAGGAA